GACAGAGAGGGAGCAGAGCAGGATAAATGTTACACAGCATCACAACTTCAGGGTGACGCCACAGAAACCCCCCTGAGCAGCCTCCTCCAAACAAACACAAGGTACAGCATCCCCAAGGTACAGCACAGGAGTTGTGCAGGAGAGCAGGTGGGGAGGGGAATCAGATTCCATGTTAGACCTGAAAAGTTTGGAAGAAATCCCTCCCTGTGAGGGTGGGCAGGCCCTGGCACAGATTACCCAGAGAAGCTGTGGCTGTCCCTGGATCCCTGGGAGTGTCCAAGGCCAGGTTGGACAGGGCTTGGAGCACCCTGGGCTGGTGGAAAGTGTCCCTGCCCTCCCATCTGTCCCAGAGCCGGTGAAGTGGCCTCAGTGACCCTCTCCCAGCCCATCTGTGCCGTCAGACACGGCAGGAGCTGGGAATGCTCTGTCTGGTCACCCCCTCAGCGTGCAGGAAAACAAGCCTGTAGATGTGCAAGCAGAGAAACCAGGTTCCAACCATTCCTAGAGTCTATGAGATGAGAGAACATTAAAAATACGACTTTCAGGATTTCCAGAGAGCCTCATGTTCCATCTGAGCCAGAGCTGCCAACCTGCTCAGGAAAGGGCTGGAATCAGAGGGACAAGGAACCTGGGAACAGAACTTGTGTGGTGGTGAAGTGAGTCAAGAGGGAAAGAAAAGGGAAAAACCAGGGCAGCGTGCTCATAATGATCAGAAGAAGAAATAAAGAATAAGAGAACAGCTGAGGCAGAGAGATCAGAAGCCTGTTCATCCCAAGAGCAGATGGTCGGGCCGGCACATTCCCGGCGTGTTCCTCCCCTCCCTGAGAGTGCCTTTGCTCTCAGCAGCCCTTGATGAATTTATTTCCTTTCAGTGGAGCTGGTTCAAGGAGCAATCGAGGGGTGTGGATGTTGGATACCCACCACATCCTCTGGGAAAGCTAAAGCAGAATGGGTTTCTGCTCCTCCATCTGTCACTGCTCCTTCCAGTCGCTGCCCTTGGGTTCCCGTCCTGGAAGGGGAAGGGAACAGCTGGAAGGGGAAGGGAACAGCTGTTTCCTATTCACCACCAAGTTGCTCTCCAGGCTTTAACAGAGCACTGCATCACACCACCAGTTTTCTCTGCAGGTTGAGCAATCTGCTCCATCCACTTGTCCAGCAGGATTTGGGGTTTGGATCGTGGGCTGCTTTGCACCACACCAGACCTGTGCAGGCAGCTGGGGAGCACTCCCTGGCTCAGAGAGGGAACACTGGCCGTGGCAGGCAGTGCTCTGGGCTGGGGGACAAGGTGGCATCAGTCACAGGCTGGACTCAGTGGTCTGGGGGCTCTTTTCCAACCTCAGTGGTTCTGGGATTCACGGGTCAGTGTCGAGATCGCTGACTCGGCAATAAAGGAGCTCCCAGAACTCGATACAACAAACGTGAGGAAATGCAGTATTTCCCAAAAAGGTTGGATTTATGCAGGATACTCACATCTGAGCTTGTCCAGGATTTTCCCACCGCACATGGTGGCCAGCATGGCTTTCACTGAGAACACCGTCAGCTTCCCGTGGCCCTCGCTGTGGGGAAAAGCACAGGGTGAGGAATTCCAACAGGGAATGGCAACCACAAAAGTATTTAAGGCCTAGGAAGGAGATGTATAAATCATTATACTGCTATATATATATCCATTATTTATATATCTGCATTAACTAGCAAGGTCTGCCAAAGCCATTTAATGTAACATTCAAACAGGGATAACACCAGCATTTTTAATGCACTGGAAGAGTTAACAAGTGTCTAATCACAAATCACATTGCCTTCTGAAAAATCACAAATCACTAATCGCAAATCACATTTCCTTATGAA